GAGGGTGTGTTCTAACGACATTGATTTACACGCGGCCTTCCAACTTTCCCAACACCGCTTGCTGAAGAGATGACACAATACTATTTTCTAGTCTACAGACCTTATTCAGATTTGCCAATTGTTCCAATAGAGTCCTTTATAGCAAAAGAAAAGTTTTGATCAGGCATTGATTCCAGCTGCCCTGTTTCTTTAGTCTCCTTTAATCAAGAAAAGTTCCTCGGTCTTTTTTCTTCATGACATGGACATTTTGAAGGAAATATATTACTTTCTTATTGCTGCTGTAACAAATTATCACAAACCTAGTGGCTTAAAATGACACAAATTTATTATCTTACAGTTCTGGAGGTGAGAAGTCTCACAAGCCTACGTCAAGGTGTTCACAGGGCTATATTCCATCTGAAGGCGCTAGAGGGTAATCCATTTGCTTGCCTTTTCTAGCTTCTAGAAGCTGCCTGCATTCCTTGGCCCATGGCTCTGTTCCTCCACTTTCAAAGCCAGCAATGTTGGCTGAGACCTTCGTATGCTGCCATTTCTCTGGGTCTCTCTCTTCTGCCTTCTTCCACTCGTGAGGACCCTTGTGATTAGATTAGACAGACGTGGCTAATCCAGGATACTCTCCCTATCTCAAAGTCAGCTGATTAGCAATCTTAATTCATCTGCAAACATAATTCTCTTTGCCAGGTAACCTAACATATTCACAGGTTCTGAGAATTAGTATGTGGCTATCTTTTGGCTACCACAATAGGCCAGTTACTTTTAAGAATGGCCCTTAATTTTCATTTGTCTGATGTTTCCTTATGGTTAGATTCAGGTTATGCACTTTTGGAAGAAATGCCACAGATGTACAATTGACCTTTTATCTGGAAACCTTGATGAACTTGTACTGGTTTTAGTCTTGATTATTTGGATGTTCTGTGTATGTTCATATCATCTGTGAATAGTAACACTATATATAATATTTTCCCTTCTAATTTCTTCCTTCCTTGCTCCTTCCCTCCCTCCCTCCTTCCCTCCCTCCCTTCCTTCCTTCGTTCTTTCTCTTTCCTCCCTCCCTCCCTTCCTTCCTTCACTGCTCGGGATCTTAGTTCCCTCACCAGGGATTGAACCAGGGCCGTCGGCAGTGAGAGCGCAGAGTCCCAACCACTGGACGGCCAGGGAATTCCTCCCTTCCAATTTCTATACCTATTATTTTTCTTATCGTAACGACCAAGACCTCCAGGACTATGTTAAACAGTAACTGGGATCACTGGCCTTCTTTCCTTCTTCTTGCTCTTACAGGGAATACATCTAAAATTCTATGCTAAGTGTAATGTTTGCTGTAGGTTTTTCATGTATAGCCCTTATCTAAATTAAGAAAAGTCCCTTCCTTTCTTCTTTTTAATTTTTTAATATTTTTTATTTATTTAAAAAAATTTTGGCTGTGTTGGGTCTTCATTTCTGCGCGTGGGCTTTCTCTAGTTGCGGTGAGCGGGGGCTACTCTTCCTTGCGGAGCACAGGCTCTAGGTGTGCGGTCTTCAGTAGTTGCTGCATGCAGGCTCAGTAGTTGCGGTGCACGGGCTTAGTTGCTCCGTGGCATGTGGGATCTTCCCGGACCAGGGATTGAACCCATGTCTCCTGTCCCCTGTCAACCAATAATAGCATGACAGGAACTATCAGAAAAAACTTGTGCTCTCAATTAGAGCAGAAAACCTGATAATTTATAATCTTGTTTCTGTCTCCCTCTCCAAACTTATTTTCCACTACATTGTCACAGAAACCTTTGCTCTAGTCATACTATTTGTTGTTCTCTGAAGACATGATGCTCTCTCTTTACTCTGTGCCTTTGCACATGCTGTTCCCTGTGTCTGGAATGCCTTTCCACTAGTTTTCTGCTTTTTACTCCACATTCAGTGCAAGCATTCTTTCTTTCTCTCTTTCTTTCTTTTAGTCACACCATGCGGCATGTGGGATCTTAGTTCCCCCGACGAGGGATCAAACTCCTGCCTCCTGCAGTGGAAGCGTGGAATCTTAACCACTGGACCGCCAGTGAATTCCCTCTTTCTTTTTTAGATTGAAATATAATTGACATACAACATTATATTAGTTTCAGGTGTACAACATAGTGATTTGACATTTACATACATTATGAGATCATCACCGTGATAAATCTAGTTAAGATGTCATCATTTAAAGTTATTACCATATTTTTGGCCATATTTCTGGCCATATTTCCTATTCTGTATATTACAGCTTCATGACTTATTTATTTATAAATGGAAGTTTGTGTCCCCTAATCCCCTTCACCTATCCCCCATCCTCCCCCACCCAGCGCCATCATTCTTGACTCTTGAAATCATATAAACTATTTCCAAATCTTGCCCAAGGTGGGTGTTCTTCTGTGCATCTAAGGTACTCTATGCTCACTCTTATCTCAGAAATTATTATATGTGTTAAATTTAAATGTGGTGCAGATACTCAAATTCTGTTTAAATCAGAAATCTCCTAGCGTCATTTTTTTTTTACCTGTGTATGTATTCAATATGAGAAGAGGAAAATGCCATTGATCCTCTACCAGCTTAACAAAATAAAGTTACAAGTATTTATACCTTCCATAAAATAGAGATGCCAACAATTATTAAAGAAGACATCTGTATGGTCAGGCCATTCAAAATGGCTGTTCTCTTGCTCTCTCTACATCCTCTGCTTGATCAGTCCCTGTTTCACTCACATGACTATCCAATCCTCTTAATTATGGGGCTTAACCAGTAACTGCCTATGTGCTTGCCTCCTGCCTCAGCTGCTGGTTTCCCTGGTAACTGATGAGCCAAACGGACATCAGTTCCCCTATAAATGGTAGCCTCCTTCTCCCCACCCCCCAGTAGTGAAGATTGATGCCATGTCCTGCCTGCTATCTGCTGTACATGGTGAGGTGTCACTCCGGGACCTTGCTTCAGACCTGTAAGGTCTCCTATCCAATAAAACCATTGATGACTCTGTCATTGTATCTGGGCTCTTCCTTCAGTCTTGCGGCTGGGCAACTACAAGGCTTGCAGGCCTGTGGGGTGCAGCCCAACAACAGTCAATCATTAAAGGTCTTTTTGGGATTAAAGATTACTTTCATTGGCTATACCAGCAATCTCAGGAGCCCTGATGTTTTAAAGGGCTACCTTGTTAGTAGCCCTTTGCAAGAACAATTATATGAAGCAGAGTAGTTTCTGCTTATCTACAGCTGGGAAGAAGGAAGGATCATTTCTTTTTGCCTAGCTAAGAGTTCTTCCACTAGCAGTTAGAAGAAACTACAGTTTAAAAGGTCGCAGAAAGGGAGACACGGGTTTGGGAAGGTGGTGTAGGAGAAGCAGCACTTTAGCTAGGTCTTGAAAGGTGAAGAGAAGAAGGAGAGAACTTCCTTGGGATAGGGAATGGCAAGAGCAAGGATTGTTTGCCATGGGTGGGGTTTGGTGAAACTAGCTTGAAGAAGGATTATGTTGGTAATTGGGAAGTAAGTACTGTTGAGGAGATGGGCTGAGAAAGATTAGGATGGACCCTTGAAAGCTAAGCAAAGGGAGTTTGGATTTTTAAAAAATTAATTAATTAATTAACATCAGAGAGGATCTGAGGGATATCAAAGCGTGCGAGCTTTCTCTAGTTGCAGCGAGTGGAGGTTGCTCTTGATTGTGGTGTGCAGGCTTCTCACTGCAGTGGCTTCTCTTGTTGCGGAGCACGGGCTTTCTGCACGCAGGCTTCAGTAGTTGTGGCTCACGGCTCTAGAGCTCAGGCTCAGTAGCTGTAGCGCATGAGTTTAGTTGCTCCGCGGTATGTAGGATCCTACCGGACCAGGGATTGAATCCGTGTCCCCTGCCTTGGCAGGCGGATTCTTCACCACTGCGCCACAAGGGAAGTCCTGGGAGTTTGAATTTAATGTGATAGTAAACAAGGAGTCATTTGAAATTTCAAGCAGAGCACTATTTTGACAAAAGCAAAGCTTTAGCAAGATTAATTTGATAACTGTAGGATGAGTCAAGCCTCAGTATCTCATCCCTTTGCCTTTAACCTCTTCCTTCCCAAACCCGACCCTAATTTTTTAGGGCAGTGGTTCTCAAGTATTCTAGGGACATGGACCCCATTGAGAGTATGATGAAAATCTAGGACCTATTCCTCAGAAAAACACCAACTCCAGATTTTTCACAGATTCCCTGAAACCCATCCATGGATTCCAGGATAGTTTCCAATCTTAACAGCTAATGGATTTTAGCAATATTGAAATGGCTACTATATTTTGAATGTTAACTATTGACTAGGCTATGCGTTTGTTTTGTGAGTGGATTGCAGTCATAGATCAATATAATTTTTAATCTTGCCTTCTTATTTAATGTGTCATAACCATTTTCCATGTTATTGCATAGTCTTTTAAAATTTTAGTCACTGTTTAACATTCCACTGAATGGCTATTTCCTTATAGTTGTTCATCTATGTGGCTTTTAACTTATTATAGACCGGAGGGACATCACACATCATTGTGCAAATAACTTTTCCATTATTTTGGATTAGTATTACAGGATAAATTCCTAGGAGAGGTCAAAGTATTTAAACATTTTATTTGACAGTTAGTACCAAATTGCTTTCCAAAAGAAAGGGCCAATTTAGCCTCTCACTCATTAGGAAAATGTAATTGTTATTGTTATTATCATTTGCTTTTCTTTGATTGACACTGTTAATATTTTTTCCATACTTTTATTTACTAATTTGCTGTATTTTATTAGAAATTGTTCATGTAAAGGTTAATTGGAAAAATGAAAACGTCCATTTCATTAGAAAAGTCTCAGTTGATAATGGTATCTTTAGAAAACAATAAAGCCCCTTTCTAAATGCAGGTGAAGTCAATATCTCCTTCTAGAGAAAGGGTATATATGATGTTGGTAAAGAACTTTCCTGGGTCAGGATCAGGATATGTGAATTTGTATTTGTTCTTTTAGATGCTGGAGTGGCTTTTAATATGATTGTATCATCTATCCATTTTCAGAACCTTATGTAAAAGACTGCTTTCACGTGACTGTATCAGAGAAAGGAGGGCATCTCCAAATACAGAAGGTGGAAAAATGAAGATTTGACCGAACTTCCCCAACTGGCACAGGGAAGGATTTGCTTAGAGCAAGCATTGGCTGTTTCCAGCCAGTTGTAAAACAGTAAACAGCTCATATGATCATAAATGGGCATGTCCCAGAAATTCATAGCGATATTTTATTTCCCCATCAAGACCAGGAAATTCAGCCTCTGAATTTTTCAGTCTGAAAAAGATATAACCAATCACATTCCAGAGTGGGAAAGTGGGGATTTTTTTCTTTTGAAAGTTTTTCAAAATCAAGGTTTCTAGCTATGAGTTTTTGTGCAAACAACCCAATTTCTCTTTGCCTTAGTTTCCTTATTGTAAAATGAAGATGACAATAGCCCCTGCCTCATAGGGTTGTTGTGAGAATTAATATGCCTAAGATACTTAGAACAGTCCCTGGCACCATGCAAGCATTAGCTATTATTAACACTATTATTGTAACTATTGGGTCAGAATTAAAATTACATTAGAATTAGAATTTTAATATTCTTTATAAATTCTGCTAGTGTTTACCTTTTGAAAAAATCTAGAAAATTATACACTTAAAAATAAATATTAAGAAAAAACTTGATATAGGAGGGTGAGGAAAATCATATTGTCCATATTATAGTCAGAGAAAGGCTGCTCATTGGGAGATGTGTGCATACTGCATGGCAAGTTGACTGAGTCTTGTGTTACAGTGATTTTTATTTTGTATTGTGCCAAGCCAACTGGGAAACATGTAAAGAGGGATTTTTTATAATAATATCAAAATACATAGGAATAACTCTAACTAAAAAGAATCAGTATTAGTTGATGAGTTTCTTGACACAGAGTTTTTGCTTTGAGGCTGTATTTATGCAATTGTGATCATATGCCCCCAGAGGGCTTTTGTCAATGACTTCCGGATACAGATAGGATAAAATCTTTGTGTCTTCACAGTCTGACCCTGCTCATGTCTAGCCCTGCGGAGAGTGGTCAAGGAAGTGAGTGATGGTAACTGAAGCAGAGAAGGTAAGCAGGCTTCAGATAGTAGAGGGTCTTGTGTAGCACTAGGAAGTTTGGATTTTATCCTGAGGGCAGTAGAATCCATAGAAGGATTTTTAAGTAGGGAGTGACAATCAGATTCTAGAAAAATCACATTGGTAATAGTGTGGAATGTTAGGTAGATAAGTAAATGTGGATACAGGGAGGCCAATGAGAAGGCTGTTTCAGTAGTCCAGGGGAGAAGTTAGTTATAAATCTGTAGATATCATTTATGGTCAAGTATTATCAAAATATTTTGTGAACATTATCTTGTTTAATGCTCTTAATGGTCTTGTGAGATTAGTGTTATCTTTGTTTTATGTATTGCAAAATTGAGGTGTAAATCAGGTAAGCAATTTGCTCAAGGCCACACACAGACGGATTCAGAAGCTGGGTTTCTAACTGTGGTGCATCCAATTTCAAAGCCCATGAGCTTGACCAGTAAGCTACACTATTATTCTACTGACATGAATTATAATAGGGGCAATTCAGAAAGAAAGAGGCAACTAAATGTAAGAGATACTAAGGAGGAAGCATCAGCAAGACCTGGTGATTGACGAGATATAGAATCTGAAGGGAAGGGAGGAGCTGAAGTTGACATATAGGAAATGGGGCAGGGCAGAGGTGGGAACCCCATTCCTAATTGTTTCTATGTGGAGGAACTTTTAAAGGGACCTCCTGACCTCTCTGTGCTTCCTCATTCTTCTTTCCTTCAAGGAGAGGAAAAGTGGCTTAGCTGGTAAGTTTGGAAAAAGCTGAGCTACTTGGTTAAGTTCCTTCCTCTTTTTTCTTTGGGAATGGTCTACTCTTCCCTGTCTTAAGTTTTATTGGGTTGGTCACCAAGTGGGAGGCCTGAAGAACCCAGAGCTGTCTTTGACTGCTTGGGTGTATCCGTTCAGATTAATTTCACTGCAGGTAGCAGAAATCCAAAACACCATAGCTTAAATGGATTAGAATTTTTATTTTTTTACATAATGTCCAGAGGTAGGCAGACCAAGGACAGTGGACTTGATGGCTTTGTGCCCTCAAAGTCCTTGAGGACCGAGTTGCCTCCTGCTTATTGCTCAGTCATACCTAGAGTACAGGGTGCTCTGAGGATGTAAAACTAATATATTCTTGCCATCACATCTGTGTTCCAGGCAGCAGGATGGGGGAAGGGAGGAAGGAGAGAAGAAGGCACAAAAGGCAAAATTTAGGGAGGTTTTCCTTGAAGCTGCCTTGTAGACCTTCAGTTTATATCTTATTGGTCTGTATACCTCGCTACAGGGAAAACTAGGAATTATAGTCTTTACTCCAAGAAGCCATTTCCTCAGCCCAAAACTGAACGTGAAAGGCAGAATAGAGAATAATCAGCAGCCTCTGCAGCAGTGGGTGTGAGTTTGCCTAATTCAGGGATGAACTTAACGAGCTCATTTTCCCCAGGTCTGAACCCTGTCCTCCAAAGTAGCATTTAAAAAAACTTTTTAAAAAAATTTATTTATTTTCTTTATTTTTATTTTCGGTTGCATGGGTCTTCACTGCTGCACATGGGTTTTCTCTAGTTGAGGTGAGCGAGGGCTACTCTTCGTTGTGGTGCACGGGCTTCTCATTTTGGTGGCTTCTCTTGTTGCAGAGCACAGGCTCGAGGCACGTGGGCTTCAGTAGTTGCGGTACGTGGGTTCAGTAGTTGTGGCTCCTGGGGTCTAGAGCGCAGGCTCAGTAATTGTGGCACATGCGCTTAGTTGCTCCGAGGCATGTGGGATCTTCCTGGACCAGGGCTCGAACCCGTGTCCCTGTATTGACAGGCGGATTCTTAACCACTGCACCACCAGGGAAGCCCCAAACTAACATTTATCAGTAAAAAAGCTGACGTTTATCTCCATCTCTCTTACTCCTGTATCTATTTCTCAGTATTCCAAGCCTGTTCACTAGATGTTGGTGTTTGAAGTAAGACTCCCTTTTGCCCCCTAAAATCAGCTTTATATTCAATTTTCCCCATTAGATAAACAATTTTGCCAATTAGATAAACCATCTCCCTCCTTTTGAGGAGGAGTCGGTAGGGGGTTAAGAGACGGGCATAAGTGACCTTCCTGTTGCCCACCCCTTCCCACCCGCAAGGAGTGGAGCACAAATTTCCTGTGGAAACATTAGGTTATGGCATCCCTGTCCCCTCTCCCCACCCCAACTAATACTATTGGTGACAGTTGCTTGGTCAACCTATAATATCAGGGACACCTGAATTCATAAGTTTTTTCACAACTAAAGCCTTCATAGTATGCTTTTCTTTATGCCCCTAAATATAACTTAAAAATAACAAACCTACTGTAATTTATTGGGGTCTTTTATTTTATTTTTTTTGTGGTACACGGGCCTCTCACTGTTGTGGCCTCTCCCGTTGCAGAGCACAGGCTCCAGATGCGCAGGCCCAGTGGCCATGGCTCACGGGCCCAGCTGCTCCGCGGCATGTGGGATCCTCCCGGACTGGGGCACGAACCTGTGTCCCCTGCATCGGCAGGCAGACTCTCAACCACTGCACCACCAGGGAAGCCCTATTGGGACCTTTTAAATAGAGCTCATAGTCTTCATGTTTTTCTTCCTTGCCCCCCTCTCATTCTGATTTTGATATCCCTCAGATCCTCTCTGATATTAAAGCTTGTCTGACTACCTGCTTCTTGGGACAGTGTTTAGCTACTCTTATTTCTGCTGGCTTCCTATGAGATTTTGCTTTCTAAAAAGTCTCTTAGAGGGAATTCCCTGACGGTCCAGTGGTCAGGGCTCCGCACTTCCATTGCTGTGGCCTGTGTTAGATCCCTGGTTGGGGAACTAAGATCCCGTAAGCCACGTGGCCCGGCCAAACACAAAAAGGTCTTTTACATATTTCTGTAAGTCATCATTGAAGGGAGTTGAACTTCCTTAAACTTACTGATTGATAGTTATATGAGTTGTAGGCTTTTGAGATTGGCTGTTTCTGAAACATTTCTCCCATTTTAATTCTGCCCTGTTGGTCTCTCTTTCCAGGTTCTTTTAGGGGGAACTATCCTCTAGAGCCTGAGGGTGAAGAGAGGGAATTGTTGCCCTATATCTGTCTACTGAATGATGAGTGCAGAATCCTGGGTGACCATGGTCCTGAGCTCTTAAGGCCAGGCCCACCAGGAATAAGAGAAACTACCAATGATGACATTAGAAGAGACCTCAAATTGGAAACATGAATCCATCCTGCAAGGGCATGGCCTCAGCCCTGAGATTTCTTACCAGTCTGGTAAACAGTTCCACTATCAGGAGAGAGAAGGACTCCAGGAAGCTCTCAGCCAGCTCCCAGAAGCTCTGCCCTCAGTGGCTAAGGCCAGAAATGCGCATGAGAGAACAGCTATTTACTGTGCTGCCAGAGGCAATTCACAGCTGGGTACAGGAACATTGTCCAGAAGGTGGTGAATAAGTGGTGACAGTGGTGGAGGATGTGTCTCAGGGGAGTGGTAGGAAGATGGCCATTAGTGGTAGGAGAGTGAGTTCTTCACAGACTGGAGTTAGGGTTTTGGAAGTCCAGCCTGGGGTCAGTACAACTGGTATCAGTAATATATGTTTCTCTATGAAGGTAAAACGTCAGCATTGTATTCATTCAAATTTTTGAGTGCCACCCTGAGCTAGCCGTTAGGGATGTAAAGATAATCAAAAGACATGCCCCATACCCATGTGAAATTTATGGTGCAGGAGGAGATACAGTCATTAAACAATTTCACAAGTAAGTAAGGATGGTTTGATTATGAAGAACAAGTACAGAGTGCTATGAGAGCTTATACTGTTGGGTTTTGAGGGAGCTCAAAAAGCAACACCTCACTTCTCCCCACCTGAGTTTCGAAGCAAGACACACAGGAGTCAGGCAGATAAGTATCAAAATGTCAGTTCCTTTACTGACCAACTAACTGACTTGCTAATACAAGCTGGTTTTACCACTTTAGGAAAAGGCTTTTCTACATGAAGTTGAGGTTGAGACTTGAAAGATAAGTAGGCATTAGCCAGGCATACGGGAAGGGGATAGATGGCAGTGGAAACAGCCTTGAGATGGGAAGAAGGATAGTGTGTTCAAGGAACTAAAAGAATGCTGGTATGGTTGAAGTATAGGGAAGGAGGGAGAAAATGGTTTGAGATGAAGGTAGAGGTAGTCTGGAGCTAAATTATATTTTATCCTAAGTGTAACTACAAGATAATGAAGGTTTTAAGCAAAGAAGTGACATTCAGTTTTGTGTTTTAAGAAGATCGGTTTGTTATGTGGAAAATAGATTGCAGTGGAGCAAGAATGGATACAGGGAGACCAGTTAGGAGGTTATTACAGTGGCACAGCGGAGAGATGACAATGACTCAAACGAGGTTGGCTGCAGTGGACTCACTAGAACTTGGTGATTAATGGGATTTGCAGGGGGCAGGGGTGTGGATTAAGGATGCTTCTTAGATATCCAACTTGAGTACCATCTACCAAGAGCAAAAAGACTAGAGGGAGAGGTAGATTTGATGGAAACATGTCAGTTGTTTTAAAAAATTAATTAATTAGTTAATTATTTGGTTACACTGGGTCTTAGCTGCAGCAGGCGGCCTCCTTAGTTGTGGCTTGTGGGCTCCTTATTTGTGGCTCGCCTGCTCCTTAGTTGTGGCATGCAAACTCTTAGTTGCAGCATGCATGTTGGATCTAGTTCCCTGACAAGGGATCGAACCTGGGCCCCCTGCATTGGGACCTCGGAGTCTTAACCACTGCGCCACCAGTGAAGTCCCAATGTCAGTTTTTGATATGTTAAGGGCCTATGAGGCACTTGAATGGGAGGTCAAACAGTTGGATTTTGTTTTTGAAGCTGAAGAAGAAAGGTCTGGGCTGGTGAAGATTGGGAAGTTATAATAACTAAAGTAATAATAATTAAAGCTATAGCAGT